CGAGCACCAGGCTAGAAACCAGGAGACTGTGAGTAGCACTTCCACTTTAGGTATGAAAGCCAGCTAAGTGATTGTGGGCCACTCATTCCCTCTCTGCCCAGCTCACCTCACAGGATGGTTGTTGTGGGGAAAATAGGAGAAGAAAGGAGTATTAAGTATATTCACCACTTTGAGTTATTAATAAAAATGCAATGCAAGATTTTTTTAAAAAAATCTTTAAAAATCAGCCTTCACTGTATTCTACAGAATTCTAGTTGGCACCTTTCTTGCTTTAAACTTTTTGCCCCATCTACTGCCAATTGATAGAAGTTCAAAAAGCACAGATAAAATGCCTTACCACTTATAGCAGATAACAGAAGAACAGAAGAACTGAGTTGGAATTGACCTTGGAGGTCTTCTAGTCCAACCGCCTGATCAAGCAGGAAACCCTACAACATTTCAGATAAATGGCTGCCCAATTTCTTCTTAAAATCCTCCATTGATGGAACAACCACAATATCTGGAGGCAAGTCATTCTACTGATTAATTGTTCTGTCAGGAAATTTCTCCTTGGTTTTAGGTTGCTTCTCTCCTTGATTAGCTTCCATCCATTGCTGCTTGTCCTGCCTTCAGGTGCTTTGAAGAATAGGTTGACCCCCTCTTCTTTGTGACAGCCCCTTAAATATTGGAACATTATTATCATGTTCCAATAGTCCTGGTCCTTGTTTTCATTAAAGTAGACATATCTAATTCCTGCAATACAATTCCAGTTCTTTGTATGTTTTAGCCTTCAGTCCCCTAATCATCTTTGTTGTTCTTCTCTGCACTCATTCTAGAGTCTCAACATCTTTTTTATATCATGGCGACCAAAAGTGGATGCAATATTCCAAGTGTGGTCTTGCCAAGGCATTATAAAGTGGTATTAACACTTCATGTGATCTTGATTCTATCCCTGTGTTAATGCAGCCTAGGACTGCATTGGCTTTTTGGCAGCTGCAGCACATTGCTGGCTCATATTTAAGTAATTGTACACTAAGATTCCAAGATCCCCCTCACAGTTACTACTATTGAGCCAGGTACCACCTATTCTATGCCTCTACATTTGGGTTTTCCTGCCTAAGTAGAACCTTATTTTTCTCATCATTGAATTTTATTTTATTAGATAGTTCATGTCTGTCAAGATGAGTCAATGGCCCAAGAATTCAAGAGTATTTTTTTAAAAAAAAAACTATAACAAGAGCATTAGTAGAGACCGAAACTTATAGGAAATGGACAAAGTATATAAACTGATTATCAGTGTTCTTCCTATGGCTGAAAAAAAAAAATTCAGCAATTGTCTTCTAAAAGCATTTTGGTGTATAAAGCTCTCTACTCCTGTTAACCTTATTCATTCTATCCATGGAATTTCACCTTCTACAAATATCCTTAATTTAAGAGTGTGGGAGAACACAAGGTGTGGCTAATACATAAAGTTCCCACTTCAGCAACCTCACACCTATGAAAATTAAGATATTTACAGGCACAGAGCCAACATAGTCAGGCATGAGGCCATTGTCTCAAATAATTGTTTTCAAAATAATTATTATTCCAATTCCCATGCAGTTTAGGGCCAAAGAACCTGTACAATAAATTGCTGTAAACTAACAAGATTGGGTCTCTTAGCTATTGTATCCATTACTCCAGAGTGCTCAAACTAACAAGAGTATACCAGAGTTGTTATGTTTTGCTTTTGGAGTACTCAGGCATGAAGGTTAACATTTATTTTTGTTCCGATGTTCTCACATTTGGTATTTCTCAGGGACTTTCGGGGTTCAGATGATACCCAACAATTTGGGTATCTTTGTTAGACACACCATCAAATACAACATTTAATTGATTCAGGCAGAAATCATTCATATTTGAAAAGTTCTCTAATATGTAGAATCATAATATGATAGACCTCAAATGTCAATAGAGGTCACCACTCTGAATTAACCATTCAACCACTGTTTGAAGATCTCCAGAAAAAGAAAAATACATCATGTTTCATGTCAAACTGGCTAACCGCTTATACAGTAGTAAAAATTCTGAGTGGCCTCACCCCCATTTATTCTCTGCCTCCCAAGTCCCAGCTGATCAGGAGGAAATGGGGATTTTGCAGTAACCTTCCCCTGGATTGGGGAGGGAATGGAGATTTTGCAGTATCCTTCCCCCAGAATGGGGTGGGAATGGAGATTTTACCGTATCCTTTCCCTGCTACACCCACCAAGCCACACCCCAGAACCGGTAGTAAAAAAGAATTGAAACCCACCACTAGTAAACATACCTTATATCCTTTAGGTATTTGGCATGAAAGATGGTTTCCAGACACTTCATTGTCCTAGTAGACCTTGTCTGAACTTGTCACTGTCCTTGAATGGTATTGCTCAGAACTGGGCATAGTAATTCAACTGAAGTCTGACAAGGGTAACAGTATCTTCCCAAACTTGCTAATATGAAGAGAAATTTGGGAAGCTGTGACTAACCAACTATTAAAGCCCTTTCAGTTTGTATTGTAACTCTACCTGATCTCAGACTCTGTACTTTGTCAGGATAACACCCCCAAAATCTTCCTTTCAGAAGGAAACTCTCCCCTTAATTCATAGGCCATATGAATTCTCCAAAGTTGCTATATTAAAATTTCTCCCTAAAGAAAACACTATAGTCTCTAACTGGGTAGAAATTCTGAAATTCCAGAATTTCTTGCCAGCAGTGCCATTGTTGAATAATCTGGGAAGGGATTCAGAAATGTCTAGGATTTCCAGGTTAAGAAAGGTGTTTATGAAGGAGAAGATTCCTTTGAGTCAAATTCAACTTATAGAGATTTCATGAACATGTCTACATAGTTTTCTCGGCAACAACTCAGATGATTTGCCATTATCTTCCTAAAGGAAATGTATGGTCAATTAGCTAATTCAGACATGCACAGCAGTTAACAGAATTGAGCATGATGATTATTTTAAATGAAATGAAATAATATGCCCAAACTATTTGGAAAATGTATTTGAATGCAATACTTTGACATTACCGATAGCTGCTTTCAAAGCTCAGGTTATATTTGTAGCAAATAATTCTCTTAAAGACTTTGACATTCTTCTTTGAATCTTTGGTAGCTGCTACTGAATATTTAGACTCTGACTCAAGAATGAGCCATCTAAACAATTGATTTGAATCATTTAAACAGAACTTTGTAGCACTAAGGACTATTCTTGGTCCTTCAGTGAAGTACCAGTGGGTAGATTTGAGAAGCTGTAAGAACAAAGATTTAAGCTAAATGAAATGCAGTTCAGTTCAGTTTAATTCAACTCTTTAGAGGAATATCATTACTCTCATATGTTTAATAATTATATAATTAATATTTAATAATTTTCCAATCCATTCACACTAGAAATTACTGCTCTATAGCTGTTGATGTTGAATGAACAAAAAGTGAACAATGCAATAGAAATTGTAGTGCACCTTCCTTTCCTTTATAGTAACCAGGTCTATGAACCCAATCAGGAGAATGCTTCAATTTTTTATGGAACAATTTTGGTTGACATAAAGAAGGCTGCATATTTTACATCAGGCCTATGTTGCTGCTTTGAGTAGCTTATTCAAGTCATAGATTGTCACTGCAAAGTATATTAACAAATTATACTATAAATTTGTCCAGGGAAGATCTGGACATGCTATAGTATGCAGTATATTACACCAGTTCAGAATTATCAGTATTCTTATTCCAAATGAAAACTATTCCAAATTATATTTTTAGACCAAAAGTGGCTAACATTTAGCACTTCTTTTCTTCAAAATTTATTTAACTGTTTAGCACTTCATTTATTTTAACTGTTATCCAAAAGGCACAGGTGATATTATAGAATGAATCTGGCTGTACTCATCCTAATTTGGGGTGTTTTGCTGAGTTCTGGGTGCACTTTTACAGGAAAGTGCCAAAGCATCTATTTCCATTACTATTTTAATAATTATCAAAACATCTCCTTCTTGGTCCAAAATCATATACCCACTGAATTCTGGAAGCAGACATATCTGCAAGAATAGTTTTTAAAAAATAGGATAACAAAATAACAGAATTGGAAGGGACTTTGGAGATCTCCTAGTCCAATCTTCTCTCAAGCAGGAAAGCTTATACCATTTCAGACAAACGGTGGTCCAATTTCTTCTTAAAATCCTCCAGTGGAGCATCCACAACTTCTGGAGACAAGTCATTCCACTGATTAATTGTTCTAACTGTCAAGAAATTTATCTTTAGTTCTAGGCTGGTTCTGTCCTTGAGTAGTTTCCACCCATTGCTTCTTGTTGTGCCTTCATGGTGGCTGGTAGCTGCAACAACATGAGCAAAGCCCTACCACCTTTTAGTGTCTACCAGGGGCTTTTAATATGCAGCCACCATCTCAACTTTCTTCATCATCCCCCTGCAGACGTACCATCTGGCATTGTGATCTTCACTGGCTTCAGGTCCCACAAAAATGGGCCTGGAAGATTGGCATGGAGCTATCTATCCCTTTTGACTACTAGCAAACAAAAAAGAAAGCTTGAACACTCAATTTTTTTTCTTTCAAAAAGAAAATCTCTACCCAGTTCTGCTTCATGAAGCTCACTGAAAAGAATAGGAGGTGCCCAAGAACACACCTCACATTCATTTGCATGGGATTCGGACAGAGCTATTTTATGGTGGTTTGTGTAATGGAATTGCATTTAATCAAACTGAGTTTTATTACACTATTATGAATTGAAGTATGTTTCCTGTAATTCTTCTTCAACAGACCTCATCCTGTAAACAAATATCATTTCTCAGAGCTGAAATATGTTCCTTCCCACTGAGTGGTGAAAGTATAAACCCTGAGAGAAAGAATGAGATTTTAAAGGAGATAAGGTCTAGTTCAATGGAAAGAAGCCACCTTACTTTTTCTTTTCTTTCTTCCTTTCTCTCTCCCTGTCCTTATTTCCTGCTCATGCTATTGGTATTGCCAAAAAAAGCATTATTCCATTTTCAACCAATAGCATGGATGTTCAAGAATTTTTTTTGTGTGTGTGTGCATTCTTAAGTGAAATTATCTGCTTCACATTTCTTGGATTATGCAGCTGGTAATGCGATTATCCTTTGATTCTTGTTCTACTCCAAGCTCTACTACAGAGTTCTCAGCTCACAAGGTATGAAACTGCAAATATAAATGAGTAATTGAGGGTAAATGCATACTTTGTGAAAACATACCTTCTCCTGCAAATTCTTTTGCTGGTCTTCAAAGAAATATTCAGACTGACGTAGAAACAGGGGGAAAAATGGATGCATTAATGAATATATGGCAAGCTGCTATGAAAAGGATATAGAATGTCCCAGCTTTATCAGCTGCTATCAGCTTCAGTGACTAAATGGACCTATATTTCTTCAGGACTCAGATCTACACTTTTATGGTAAATACAATTAAATGGGTTTGAGTAAAAGGTTATAATATAAGCCAGATCTATCCACTCAGGTTACAGTAAATAAGATAATAAAATGAAAGAGGTTATTTTTTTCCTCTTTTTCTAAATAGCATTTCAGTGTGCTGAGCCTGATAAAGAGAAGATCCTGTTTGGCGGCCACTCCACTTTGCTCAGCTGTGGCCCTCTCAGGAAGAGCATAGAAAGAAGGGAGGGACTTGCATTGCTACTTATAAAACATCCAAGCTTGAAGACCTGAAGCTAGAAAGTGGCAGCAGCAGAACTGTCCATTTTCAGCCCAGACGGGTGGGGAGGGGGAAAGGACTCATCGCTATGATTTGGTTATTTCTGGTTCTCCTCTGCAACATCATGCGCAGCTCAGGTAAGTCAAACAGCAGCAACTATCCCATAAAGAGATGCATTATTTTCAGCTGTCCTGTTTTTAACATCAGAAGTCAAAATGTTCAGTTAGAGGAGGCAATGTAACAGGGTTCCATTCAACTATTCTAATGGTAAGGTCACGGAATGGCCCCAAAACCATTTTCCTTGGACACTTTCAGGTGGACTTCCCAACTGTTAACCTCAAGTCAGAGAGTCAATTTCTCTATCTGTCTGTCAGTCAATGCTATATGAAAAAAGTTAGTCTGTGTAAATCTATTGAGGCAATGTTGAATGATTGAACTGTAATGTCCCAGGTTTTTCCTCTTTGCAATTTTGGGAAACTATTTTCTGCTTTTCATGCCACTGTGACACAGGCAATAACCTTCCCAATATATAAAACCTGGGATAACATGCATGTTCTTGACTGAAAGAAAAGACAGATAGATAGGCACAGATATAATGACACTATTTGGAATAATTTAACCTTCTTTTGATGCTGACAATTTATCAAAGATATGCTTCTGGAATGATTATAAAAATCTTCAATTCAGATTTGTCAATTAAACTTGTCCTGTGAATTTTTTGTGAGCAAATCACTGCCTTCCACAGTCAATCCAAAGGGCCACATTGTGCACTCCAAGAGTGAGTGGGCATTCCTTTTGCAGTGAAAACCTTCTTTATTCCCAGAATTGCAGGTATATTGTCTTTGGAATTAATTTGCTTGGTTAATAGTTGCTGATATTTCATACAGATTTGTATAAATAGCTCTATTGACTACTATGAAAAAGCTTCATATTTTTTCTTCAGGACTGTGTTATATGGGAACTGTTTCATAAATCATTTGTTTTCCTTATTTCTCAGATCAGAGCCATTTGGAACATTCAGACCATTTATTTGGTAAGTTTATGGAATATAAATTAGTCTTCTGAATTAACAAGCGTATTGAGTTTCGCCATCTCTCTTCTATCTCTTGGAATTTCTTTTGGTATTGTTATGGGTCTGTGGCACTTGAATTGTACTGTAAGTGGCCTTGGTCATATTTTTGCAGGCCAGAGAGTTTTGGAGACAGATGGTTATCCTTAACTATGGTAAACCAGTGATCATACCTAATTTGGCAGCAGATATGGTTCTTGGGAGAAGATTCCTGTTTGTGAATTCTTTGATGTTTGTTCTTTTTCATCTCTTCCTCCTCATGCAGTTAGAATTGGTTCTTAGGCCACAAAAAACATTTCAAACATATAGATTTGGTTGTTTAAATATTTTAGTCATTTTACTCTGAAAATTCTATATTTATTTATTTTGCATGATTTTCAACATCTAATGATCCACTTGAAAATACCACATAATTATTGCAAAGTGAACCAGTAAAAGTGCTCTATGAAGAAATGTGCAATAAAGCTTTGCTTTAAATTGACAGTCTAATATGTAATCATACCTATGTTTATTTAGAATATATGTTTATTTAGAAGTTTCATAGATTGTTAGCAAGTTCTTTTCTCAATATTCTCAAATATTGCTTTGGAAGATAATCAAAGAAATGTATCTATTTGTCTGGACATTAATTAAGCTTGTGAGAAGTCTAAACATGGTCCATAATCTTGTGGTCAGGCATGACTTCTATAAGGTAGCACATCTCCTCCAGTAAATGGTGCCTTACCTGAAAGAAATTATTGATGGCTACAAGCTAACTTTAGTATTGTTCAGCTAGCAGCATCTGTCTGGCATGGTATGCAAAGGGGAAATTGCTATCAGGAAACTCAAGAGCAGGTTGGAGTAGCAAGGCTCCCAAACTGAAAACAGACACATTAGTCTGTACCCCAATAAGGGCAGGTGGGATTACAAAGAAATGAAGGTGTTTCATTTGACCAAAGCTTTGTTTGCAGAGTTAGAATTTGATTGAAAAGGTAAAGCCAAATAAACCGAGTCAATGATATAGCTTCAAAATCAGGAATGAATTTATGGTAACAATTGGTATAGTCCAAGAACTGGTGTATATTGCAGAAACCCACACTTGCTCAATTAGTGAGATCTTTGGTCTCAGAGATATACACAGTTCACTTTGACAGTGGAAGCCAGTAAACTTGCTTGAATACCTATTCAGCAAGGTACTTTTGCCTTTCTTTCCCTCAATCACTTCAAATTAAACATAATTAAACATTCTTTGGGATTTGCAGTCCCTCGGTTGCATGATTGTACAGTTCTAGTTTCTTAGCCAGCTTACCCTGTTTGGGTATTTTTTGTATGTGAAAATTGCTGCTTCTCTGGAATTAGTTGCATGTGCCTTATATGTTTTAGCAATAAAGGATCAGGATATCTGACACAGTATCTATATCGTTATTAGTTCCAATAATCTATTCTGACAGCAAATCTGGCAAAACATACACATTCCAGGGTGGTTATTGTGTTTCAATTTGTAGGCAACTTCTGTTTTTGCATTTGAGACATAAATTTCCTTCAAAACAACCTATAGTGGTTTGTTTATTTGTTTGTAGTGGTTTTGATCAGGCTTCATATCAATCTATTATGAGTTGTACTGGGTTATATAAAGGAGAATGGATGGGAATATTCTGTGACTTAAAAAAGCAAAGAATACCCTTGAAAGCCACTTTTTTTTTCTGCTTTCTCTTTGGCTTGTAGACAGTGAGATCAGATAGTAAGGTTAATCTTATCTGCAAAACAAAAAAAGAGTGTACTTCTTCCTCTAGAGAAAAATAGATATTTTTTAAAAAAAATTCATGTATTCATAAAAACAGATCAGATACATATAATCTAGCAATTTCAATAAATTTAGTAGCCCATTCTCATAATTATCATTTCTTCAGCTACCAAAAAATACTTTCTGCAGGCTGCAGTTGGCAGTGTTTAATGTTATTGTATCATTCACATCTATTACACATAGTTGACCTGAAATATATCTGATCTTTCCAGCAAGCCTTTAGGAATGAGCATCACTATTACAAGAATCTGCAGGACAAAGAAAGGGGTGAGATCAAGTAATAAAACATCTCTTATGATGCTATAACGCATGATTTATAGGAAAGTCAGCTTCTGTTCTCTTTCAGGCTCCCTGACATTAATATGACTAGTTCTTTTCATTGAGGACAGATCTTCTAGCTAAAACCACAAACTGCTGTAGATTAAATATTTGACTAGCATGGCAGCCATACAACCCCAGGAAAGGATGTGGCTGCTTTAAAGAGTTGCAAACCACTGCTACATTCATGGCCCTGTACTCTGCATGCACTCTATGGTACTACACAGCACATAGCATAATGTCCAGCAATACCTGTAATTCAGTGCAGTGTTGATTGCTTAAAATAGTTTCCATTTCCTTTAAATTTGGACTCGCCCATAGTCTTTTATTTGAACCCTTTTGACTTTAATGGTTTGCATTTGGTTTTGTGCAAGTTTCAGGCCTTGTTGCTAGCCTTCAAATAGCTTTTAGCCACTTTCATCCTAAACCCACAAAAAATGAAACACTTCCAAATATTGTAAAAATGCAGCTTCGTTTAAAACAGCTAGGTATAGAAATCCTAAAAGATACTCTTTAAAAAGAAAAAAAAAATCTCATATGGTCTAATACACCAAAGTCTGGTGCAGTCTTGATCATACTACACTAACTCAAAACAACTGGCAGCATCAAGCATTGGAAGTTGCAAAAGGCTATCATCTACTGAAAAGAATGAACATTTCATTTGTTCAGCTGTTTCAGGTTTCTCCAGGTATAACCTGTTCTATTTTTCTTGGCTGCTGGTCCTTTTGTTTCAATTACTCCATACTGAAAGATTATTTCTAACTGTGGGTTTACATTTGGGACTGACAGTGTTCTTTAAGCCTTATATTTAAGGTTCCAATTTCTTTGTGAGGCCCTGTACAAACTTTTTCCATGCAGTGGAGTAAGTTCATTGTAATAGACGCTTCTCTGCTCTTCGATTGTTTGCCTGACTTTGACATGTACGTAACTCCTTATTTTCTACCTCTCTGCTGGGGTATTGACTGTTCAGCATCTTGGACAGTGCTGAATATTTCTGCTAAAGCTTGGTCAATAGTCAGTTGCAGTAATCAGCTGAAAACAAACCAGACTCTGGAAATTTATGTAGATTGACTCTAAAAATCACATTTATATCAGTTTCTAGATCAGTTTTAAAACACACCAACTGATCTGCAAAGAGACTTTCTAAGATTTGGTAGCGTCATCGTGGCACACAATTGTCCCCAGAAAGAAATGTTGTAGCTATCATTAGTCAACTACAGGAAATGGCTGCAGAATTATCTCTGGTTTTATATTTGAGGCATTCAATTGTCCTAACAGGACAATTATAGCTTTAGCACTTAGACTTATATACCACTTCACAGT